TTACACGCTGCTGCGCGCTGCTGTGCGTTGGGCCAGCAGTGCTGCTGCTTGGCTCAACCCACCAATCGCATCGTGTACCTGCCACCCATCCCACCATGTTTCTCCGTCTCTATCCGCCCTGCTTCCTTCGGTTGCTGCTGTTTCTTCTCGTTATTCAATAGAGCAGTGCTCAGCGCAACCGCCTACCTCATCACCGAACACGCACGCCTACCTCATCACACAACACACACACACACACAACACACACACACACACACACACACATACACACACACACACACACACACACACACATGTGGGGCGGGCGAACGTTACCGCGCACCAAGCACGAAGAAACGGAAGGAGGGGTTCCATATGGATTCAAGCCAACTTATGGTTCACACATACACACACATACACATATCCATGCACATACATACACATACACACATCCTTACATCCTTGCACATACATAACATGGACGCGTAACACCTGCATCACACTTGTGGACACGAACACGACCACAAAGAGTAACATCACAGTGCACACATCCTAACAGCACGGTTCGTCTTTCTTCTGCTGCTGCCGCTGCGGCTTGTCCCCTGTTGTCGTGTGTGTGTGTGTGTGTGTGTGTGTGTGTGTGTGTGTGTGTGTGTGTGTGTGTGTGTGTGTGTGTGTGTGTGTGTGTGTGTGTGTGTGTGTGTGTGTGTGTGTGTGTGTGAAGATCGACAACAGCATGCAACACGACACAAGGTTGAGTCATGAAGTCAGCATCTCACCAGTTGAACACATCCACGACATTCCGCCCCGTCTTCGCAGACGTCTGTCACCGCACACACACACACACACACACACACACACACACACACACACGTGTTGTCGTAAAGAAATATTGTCAGGTGATACAGTAGCACAAGAGTAAGACGCTGGCGATAATTGCAACAACACCAAGAGCAAACAGCAGCAACAGCAACAACAAGAAACAGCAACAACAAAGATGGACCAACCTCAAGGTATTTGATGGCGCCCTGGTAACCATGATGGATGTGGTGGTGAGGGTGGGGTTGGTGGAGTGAGATGATGGCAGAAGCCGTTGTACGTGTGTGTGATTCGATTCACACAATGCAGTCCAACCAATCCACACAAACACAAACGCCAACACACACGTAACACCAACACACATACACACTTCAAACCCCCAACAATGCGCGTGCGTGCGTGTGTGCGTGTGTGCGTGTGTGCGTACGTATTTGCTGGCGAGTGCGTGGCCCTCCGCCTCCGTTACAGCGCGCTCGGCGACATTCTGCTCAATGAGATCATACTTGCAGCCAACAACAATCTTGATGACGCCCTCGGAGCTGGAGTCCAGGTACGAGAACCACTTGTCAATCTCGTCAAAGTGGATGCGGTCTGTGATGTCAAACGCGATGATCGCCGCAGCAGCATCCCCTGTACAATGGCGGCGGTTATTGTTATTGTTGTTGTTGGTGGTGGTGGTGGTGGTGGTGGTGGTGATGATGAGAGGGAGAGTCGTCAAGCGCTGAAACAGCACACAAATGCGCAAGGCACGTAAAGCAGAAGCACACACACACACACACACACACACACACACACACACACACACACACACACACACACACACACACACACACACACACACACACACACACACACACACACACACACACACATGCGCGCGCACGCACACACTGCACGCACGTGCATAGAAGGAGTTGAGAGAGGCAAACTTCTCCTGGCCAGCAGTATCCTGTGGTACATGAAACGTTTGGTGGGAGCAGCATGACGTGAGCAGTGTGTATGATTGAAGAGCGTGGATCAAGCGCAGTGTTGGTCCACACACACACAGCAGCAGCACAGAGCATGCCATCACAAAATCGACAAACGCACCCAAATGGCGAGGTGCAGCCCATTCCATCGTTTCAATACAAATGACACGCCCAGCGTCTGCCACGTGAGAGGTCATACAAGTTGCAGGCGAGAGTGGAAGGATGAAGGTGGCAGCGTGAGACCACTGCAGCCGCTGAACCGCCATGCACAAGCGCGCGCGCACACATGCACTCACACGCACATATGTTCACACACGCACACACACATGCACACACGCGCATACACGCACACATGCACACACACGCACACATGCACACGCACACGCACACATGCACACGCACATACATGCACACTCACGCACGAACTTGCACACACACGCACCGATGTGTTCTGCCCGGATGCGGTGAATGTGTTGTTGACAAACCGCTCCATCAATGCCGTCTTCCCGGCATCAGGAGGGCCAATGACAATGACCTTGAAATCCCTGCTCAAAGCAAGCAACGCCAAGGAACACCATCGCAGACAGCCAATACACACAGTCAACACACGCGCAAAAACAAGCAGACACACAAAGCACGCACGCACACAACAACAAGTACACAGATACACAGCAAGTATATACACACAAACACACGTCCACACGGCACAGCGCACATCACTGTGTATCGTGATGTCCACGGCGATCTCCACACTTACGCCTTGCTCATCGTGGATGAGTTGATGCAATCCAATCGGGCAGACAAAGCGTCCCAGAAGGTGGCGCACAAACAGCCCGCTCAAGCCAAATGCAGCAAACAAACAAAACCACGCAACTTCCTTCCTCGCCTACCGTGTACCACCACACACGCGTCTCCCAGCCAGCACTGCCGACACGAGCAGAGAGCGCAACAACAGGAATAGAAGGAGGCACGGCAACCAAGCAACCAAGCCGAGACGCTGAGACAGCGAGGAGGGAAGAAGGGAGGACAACAAACGCACGAACAAGGAAAGGCAAAGGTGGGAGGATGTGTGTTGGCCTTGAGATAGGACAGCTGGCTTATTTTTAGTTTGAACGGTAGAAAGGAGAAGGAGAGGCACCAAACGAGCAGCACAGCACTTGCTTCCTGGCTGGCGCTTGGCACCCTTCCCCTTCCCTCACCAAGCCTCACACATCGTCTTCCACCACTTGTCAGTGCCCGTAGCTCGGCTCGCCTAGGTCACCATGGTAGAGCGGGGCCGCTTGTCGTTCTTGGTGGGCATTGTGGTGGGCCTTGTGCTGTCGTCCGCCATCTCGTACATGTATCCGGGATCATCCACGACATCCACATCAACACTGTCCACCAAGTGCACTTGCCCAACCACTGGCCATGTCATCGATCTCCCCACACAGGCACCTTCCTTCCCATCCACGCCACCACCAGAACAGCAGCAGCAACAACAACAACAACAACAACAACAACAACAACAACAACAACAAGAAGAAAACAGAGAAGAAGAGGTGCCTGAGAAGAGATCCACCACTGCACAACAGACAAACACCAACGCAAGCACTGCTGGTGGTGGTGGTGGTGGCGACGCAGCGGGTGGCAAAGATGCCGGTGGCGCCGACGATGACGATGCGGAGAGGGAAGACAGCCCCATGGAGCCCGTGACGCCAGAACCGGAGAAGCAAGAGCTACCAGAGGACGCGGTGAAGAAGCAGGACGTGGCGAATGCAGGCGATCTGCGCAACAAGGTCAACGCACACTATTGGCTGAACATGTGCGGCAAGAGCCTGAGGATCCTCAAGAACCACCCCCACTTCCCGGGCAAGCCGCACTTTGTCTCCTTCCTTGAGGACCTGCAGATCCGCTACCACACGGTGAACTACGCCCAACGCCTGCTGGGCTTCATCCACCCACCATCCGATGGCAGCTATCGCTTTGCCCTCTCCTCGCGCGGCTGCTCCGAAATGCACATGAGCACAGACACTTTTCCAGGTTGGTGTCCACCTTGTGTGCGTCTGTGTGTGTGTGTGTGTGGGGGGGGAGGGGGCTGTGTGGCTGTGTTTGTCTGTGTCTGTGTGTGCGTGCGTGAGTCTGTCTGTCTGTCTGTCTTTGTCTGTGTCTGTGTATGCGTGCCTGCGTGTGCGTGCCTGCGTGTGCATTTGCCCGTGTACCTGTCTGTGTACATGTGCGCATGTCTGTGTACATGTGCGCATGTATGTTTGTGCGTTGCTGTTGCCTTGTGAGGCTGTCCTCACAACCTCGTCCAACCTCGTCCAACCTCGTCCAACCCTCTATCCACACACACACACACACACACACACGCAAACATCCCCCCGCCCCTTTCCTTCATGTACAGCCAATGCGCAGCTGATTGTGAGCCTGTGCAAAGGGCGGGAAGAAAAGTTCACGGAGCCAAACGACTTTTCGCACGTTTCCAAACCCCTCAAGCTGCACGCGGGGAAGAAGTACTACTTTGACGTCCTGCACAAGGCCGGCGATGGCAGCGAGCACCTGCAAGTGGCGTGGTCGCGTGACGACGGCCCCTTCACCATCATCAAAGGCGACCACCTCAGCGCATATGAGGACACGACCGTCAGCTCCATCCTCTCCCGCGATGCGTCGGAAGGCGAGTGGGAGGTGGAGCAGGTGTTTACGCAAGAGCAGTACACCGACAAGCACCTGCCGTCCTTCACAGTCCCCATGTACTACCCGGATGCGGAGCTGAAGAGCGTGCTGCCTGCATGCAGCTGGTCGCCGTCATATGCCCGGCCACACCGCGTCTCACAGTACCAGGCCGCAAACTCATACGTCTGCAAAATGAGGTGTGTGTGTGTGTGTGTGTGCGTGCGTGTGTGTGTGTGTGTGTCTGTGTGTGAGGGGGAGGAACCTGGCGAACACACAACTGCAATCCCAGTGCGTGCGCCATCACATCGTCATCCAATCCCGCCACTCACTGCTCCCCGCCTGCCTGTGTCTGTCTACCCGTGTGCATGTGTGTGCCCGCCTGTCTGTGTCTGTGTGCAGTGCGGTGTATCCGGACGACCACACGACGCTGCTCGGGTCCCACCAGGCACGCGGCCCAAACAAGAGCATGCAGAAGTCCTTTGCAGAGCGCATTGCAAAGGTGAGGCCTGGGTCAGCTGGTGCATGCACGTGGTGGTGACGGTCGTGGGGTATCAGCGAGTGGCATTCGCTGAACGAGCATTGCTTGACATCCCGAACACTTTTACGCGCACTCATGCATGCACTCTGTCAACCACACGCTTCACACACACACACACACATCTCGTCTTTCCATGCACACACACACGCGCGCGCGTCCATGGCCGCCAGGCGTATGTGCAGAAGATCAATGCGAAGCGGCAGCAGGACGGCAAGAGCGCAGTGGCGCTGAAGAAAATTGTCCACATGGAGTCCAAGGAGCACGCGGGCCAAACACGGTCGGTGCTGCAGTTGGTGTTGGTGTTGGTGTTGGCGCTGTAGCTGGTGGATGTAGTGGAGGGACGGCTCTTGTGTTCGTTATGCTCGTCACATGCACGCAGCCTTTACGAACACACCTCAAACTCACGCGCGCGCAATCACACGCACATCATCATCATCATCCTTGTCGTCATTATCATCATCTCAATCGTCCATTCATCCCATCATTCCATCCACCACCACCACCCCTCCCGTCAGCGTGCTGGCCGAGCTCGACGTTGAGCGGGACGGCCGGGTGCTGCGCGTGTCTCGCTACATTGTCTCAAAGGGCAACGGCGAACTCTGCGACGCAAACAACTTCCAGTGGCGCAAGCAAGCCATGGTCCACATCATCGTGCCGGTGCGGTGGCTCGCTTGCTTGACTGTTTGTTTGTTTTTTTGTTTTTGTTTTTGTTTTTGCTTTTGTTTGTTTGTTTGTTTGTTTGTTTGTTTGTTTGTTTGTTTGTTTGTTTGTTTGTTTGTTTGTTCGTTCGTTCGTTTGTTTGTGTGTGTGTGTGTGTGTCACGTGTCTTTCCTTTTGACGGCGCAACATCTGAGGTTGACTCTCCATTTCAATTTTTCTGCATGTGCGATGTCACCGTCATGCACACACGAACTCACACACGCACACACTCGTTCATCCACACGTGCGTGCATACACGCAAACGCACGGTGTGCAGGTG